CCTCCCCCCCTCTAAAATCAATTCTCTCCTGGAGAACGTCTTCGTGAGCCTCTCATGATTTCAGGATAGTTGAAACCCTCTTGAACATTTAGAAAGAATGAATATGAAATGCTAATCACGAAAGGTGTTCCCCGAGGGGATACGTTTTGTGAAGCACGTCAATTCTCTCCTGGGGAGCGTCTTCGTGAGCCTCTTATGGTTTCAGGATAGTTCAAATCCTATGATGTTCCGATTCAATGCTCACCGATGATCTGAGCCATGGGGCAAGTTTGTTTTCCTAAGAATCTTTTTGAACATTTCGAGAGCAGATGTTTGAACATTTAAAGTGCATATGAACATATATTTACGAAAGGTCGCCTCCGAGGGGATAAATCACCATGTCGAACATTGCATTTTTGTTCCTGCCTCTCGCGTTCTCTTCTCTTCCCGCTGTCCTACCTTTCGTGTCTCCCTCCTCTCAAGTCATGTAACATATGTATTTGTTCTTTCATACTTCTTCTTATAGGACTTTTTCACCGAAGCTCGGCTGCCAAATTCTGCAGCGAACTCGTCTCGAGGTGTTCTCGCCACCGAGCAGACACCTGGAGGTGCCTGCAACAGCGGCCTGACCACTGAGTTGTGTTCGATGTATTTTGCATTTATTTTTGCATTGTGAGGAGTGAAGGATCTGTAATATAAAGATATGCATTTGAATTATACTGTATGAGAAGGGGGTGATTGAGTGAATAAGTCTGATTAAGCCGTTGCTGACAGTGGTATTTGTGTTGTTTTCTCATCCCTCAAATATCATCAAATCAATTCAAATCATGGTGAACGAAGGCCCCTCAGCTTTCACAACTCTCGCGGTTTACCCTTTTGTCTCCTCGCGGGTTGACTGGTATTTTCACGCCAGGAGTCATCTCCATGGCCCTTTGATTTTGCTGCAGGCACCGGGCAGGATTGGGAATGAGACGGCTACGAACGGGGCTCCTGGCCTGAATGCCGGTCTGACCCGTTTTCAGAGAGCCAAACAGCGCGACCGAAAAACCTGGCAGGTGAATCCACCAGCAAGCCGCAAAGGCTGGGCAAGATCTACTCAAATCCATCCGACACCACTTGTAAAGGAAATGCTAGATCAATCACAGCACTCGTCGTTGTATGTCTATAATTATATACATGATTATACATGTTACATCATGTTACATATTTATTTTTAGAAGAATGAATCATTGATTGTCATTCAGATAGAACATCACGAGCTGAAGATCTTCACCGACTTTACGGCCAATGTTTTCGCGTCGGCCACGTTTGCCGCTGCATTTGCAGTTCCATCCTGGTTTGAGGCGCAAGGAGGAGCTCCAACGGTGCTTTTCCGCTTGGAGGGATGAGGCGGGTAACACTCCTCACTCGCTGAAATGGAACTTACTTAATTTCAAAACTTGGTGGCGAAGAAGGCGAGTCGAGTGAAAAGAACAACTCGCACTCACAACATTCCAAAACGGGGCAACCTAGCTTGATCTCTGTGTTCCGGTCGTTTCCAGTGCTTGTGTTTGGCACAACATTCTTTTTGGCATTCCAAACCCCTAGTAGCCTAGTAGGTTGAACGATGTTTTGTCCCATTCATTTGTAGGGGCCAAATTGAGCAACTGAGAGGGAACATCCACCAAGTGTTTGGTACTTGTTTTTTGTACCACTCCGTTGGTTCTGCGCCTGACTCCACACCCTTCTTTCCCGGAGATCCTGCTCTCGTGTGATTCGAGGGTTGGTCGAGGGTAGCACCAGTTTGATGGCCCGGCCCTAAAACCAAATCAGTCCATGCAGAACTTCACGAGAATGTTTATCCTAGTAGCAAATCCATTATGAGGGCAAGGAGTCAAGTTTGTTGCAGGCGGACGCCTCAGCACTGGTGAAGGCTAAGATGGAAGAAATGCGATTGGAGGATCCGCCAGATTGACCATCGAACCACGCCCACGGTTTTTTTTAGAAGCTCGAAGAATGAATCAAGCTTCCTGGTGATGACTCTGTAGTCCTTGCTTGCAAAAGTGGTGAGTTTTGATCTTGTTCCGGATGTGTTGTTCCTTTGTCCTCTCTACTCCATGTGCCAATCTTGCAGTACTCGAAAGATCTGGAAAGAGAACCCAACCAGGAACGGCTGGAGCAGGAGACCTTTGAAAGCCGGGAGGCAGACAGCTGCGGGAGATGTATCAGAAATTCGTGTTTGCTTTGTGGGAGGTGGAGGTGGACAGAGGTACGCAGTGCGGATCCGGGGTGTGTATGGTGTGTGCTTGGCCATGTAATTACACTCAGACCCGTATCAGTGTTCGTCCGTTGTTATCAAGACATCCATCCAGATCACTCAATCAACAAATATAAATGTGTGCAAATTCAAGACATGGTCAGCTTCAGCTTCTGTTTGGAAGACCCACAATGACATTCCCACCGAGGGTTTTGCGTCTCGTCACTCTGACAGGCGAGCCCCAAGAGCCAGGCGTGGCGTGACCATAGCCCAGACACTCCATGGGACCGCCATATTTGCCGATCAGTTGGGGTGGTTTCAGGATGTTTCAGGGGTCAACGTAGGCATATTACCATGGAATGTTTGGAGATGTTTGGAGAGTGACCTGTTTTGGTTCCAGTATCTGTTTTGAAAACCCTTTGCCACTTTGCCAACAAAGTTGGCTTTGGACAATTATGCGGACTGAGTATGACCGAGTCTCCATTGTCAGCGTCTAACATCAACAGAGAAGGGTTGTCTCCCATTTCCAGAGGCAGAGAACTTAAACATCCCCAGATGCAGGCCAGAGCCACAACACCTTCTTGGAAGGTTGGAGCCATTCAGTGACGATGTTCTCGAATGTTTGGCGCTCCACGGATGTGCAGACACTCAAGCATCATCAGTTGGTCGAGAGATGAAGTGTCAGCCATGCTTGAGTGTGTGGTCGTTTTTGCGTGTGTCTAGCCTTTAAGCACCCTACCATACCCTACCCCTATGTAGTGTGATGCGCGGCCCTACAGATGCTTGATGATTGTTGGCGCTTTGCTTCGTGATTCCATACAATCTGCATGGTGATTCCCGTTGATTCGAAGCCAGTCACTCCACTGAAGACGTTTGAGGATGACTCGGACTACGAGAAGTCCAGCCGCGGAAGAACGCGCAACCGCTCTACGAAGGCCTCCACGGCATGAAGAGAAGCGTAGGATAGCATACGCCTCGTCATTGTCATCAATATTATCATCAAGTGCGTAGGAGTCAAGAGTCAATATAATATGGCTTTAATCGGATGTTTCAATGTTGAAGGATTATGAAGGATTTCAATGTTTCAATGTTCATGATTGGAGTGCTTACGACACTATGAGATAAGCAGTGGAGCAGCTGACGGCGAAATTGAAATCAGAAGTACAGAGATGTAGGAGATGTGCAGACGACATCTCTTGGTCACATTGAAATGTGGCGCACCATGGAGCATTCATTGTCAAGACCTTGGCTCTTCTCCCGCGGAGGTGAGTGTGGACCTTACTGAACGTGAGCCAATCCGCACGAACGACACTCCTTCACCAAAGGCACACGGCAGCGAGCCGCGCGGCGAGCGGCAGCCACGTCTGTGGGTTTTGGGCGCGGCCACAACCCAATGAAGAAAGGTGCTTTGAAGATCATGCCGCAGCTCGCGTCCTGTCCAACCACATGCATGATCCGCTGGTCTTTTTAGCACTCGGTTCAAGAGAGTAGGTTTTTTTGATCCGATATAGGATCCGGCTTGCGTTCGCTGCACCATGGCATCTTTAGAAAGGACTGCGATGAGTAGCTTTGATGTGGCGACCAGCTTGCTAATTCAATGCCGAATTGCTCACCAAGAGCTTCAGAGGGTGGCTGGGAAGGAAGGCAAGCTTTTGAACCGGCTTTGCGATGAGCTCCAGTACATTCGAAACGAGAGTGTACCGGAAGCCTTTGAGGTGGCCTTGAGGACAGATAGTGAAATGCAGATGCCCAGAGAGCCCAAAGAGCCCAAAGACGCAAAGGAGCATAAGGAGCCGGATCCCATCACCATCACCGTGCATGATGAACATGGACAGCTGAAGGAATGTGTGAAATCCTCCGCCAGCAGCGAGGGAGAATCTAGTGTCATGAAGGAACGTCGGACCTCGCAGACTTCCGAACAATCCGTGAAATCCCTAAGTGATGCTCCGCTAGTGAAGCGCATCTCCGTGCACTCCACAGAGTCTCGGCCTCGTACGCGGCGCTCCTACACAGGCGGCTCGTTGAGTGTCTCCGAGGGCGACATCCGTGCGGTGCAGAGCTACTCCATCAACGGCATCCGCAAACAGGCGGGCGAACCTTTCAGATCAATGTACTAAGGTAGACTCACTTAGCGAAGCAAAGGTGGTTCTAGATGAAGTCTTCGAGCATTTCCACGCGAGTCTTATTGCTGACACTAGACTAATTATAGTGCTGAAGCATCAGAGAGTGCACCATCGCCTGCATTGCTGGTCTTTCTTTGATTGATGGTGGTGTACTTCATGATATTTTAGTATTACATTAGTATTAATTACATAATACTATGTATATATATATATATGTATGTATTATATGAAGTTATTCTCTCGCTTACATTCCCGCTCAAGATATGAGATGATTCATTGCGCCTTTGTGGGCTATCAACATCAAACACATCGGTGATTGCGTGGCATGGGCTTGGGCTTGTGATGTGTCCAGGACCAGCCAGCACCACGACATACCGTGGTCAGCCTTGTGAAAGCCAACTTTGCGGAGTCGGATGCGTGGCCTCCAACCGTGGGTGCTGTGACGGTCCGTGACGGGCCGGGACTACTAGCGATGGCCTCCAACCTAATGCAACCTAAGAGCGATGGCCTCCAACCTATAGGCCTATAGGCCTTCAACCCAAGGCTGAACAGAGCGGCCCTTGGGATCTCCTGAGTAGCTTTTTGGACCTTCGATGGGATTCGGAATTGTGGAGCGTCTCATTGGAGTGGAACCTTGGTGACTTCCATTCGCTGAAGGCTGAAAAGACCACCGTTTTTCAGGCTCGAGCCATCTAAGGAGAAGCGGACGTGTTCCTCCTGGGTGTATTTCTTTGCAGATTTTCTTGATTGGCTCTGGAAACTCCAAGAACCTCCTCGGCATGGATGTTTAGCCAGGGTGGTGCGATCCAACCTCTTCGGCGCGGTTTGCGGCGTCACATTGGCTGGAGAAACGGACTTTTTTTCTTCGTGGTACAAGTAAGATTTGCCTCCTGACATCTCCTGACCTTTTGCAGACTTGTTTTTGTTTTGTCTCTCTCTCTCTCTCTCTCTCTCCCTGCCTGCCTCCCTTCCTCCCGCCTTCCTCTCAAACATACCATCATGTACCCAAGAATAATTCCTGTTGTTCATTATGGTTGTGGAAATGAAGGCACAGAGACCATCAGGAACCAATTTTTCAATTACTGTGTAAATGGTGTGTGGATGTTCAGGCACCAACGAATGCGCCGCCCCGGCCTCCAACCAAACCAGACCAAAAATTGCCAAAGCAACACGTTGGGGTCGTTCCAAAACCTGCAAACCATGGCAAACATTGTTACTACTAGTAAGGCACTTGTTACTACTAGCGATGCACTTGTTTCTAGTAGCGTCCTTTCAATTGCAAACCATGGCAAGATGTGGGGGCTGGGTTTCCCGGAGCTCGAGAGATGCAAATATGTTCGTTTGCGTGTCATGTTTTGAAGTCGTTTGAGGCCGTGATTCTGATGAACGCCATTTTTATCCTTTATGCCACAGATTATGAGATGCGGACGATAGATGAGCCACTTTCAGCAGATGTTGATATATCAGTCATCGAGGTTGCGCTGGCATCGTTTTATGTACTGGAACTACTGCTCAAGCTCATTGTTCACAGGCTTTACTTTTTTTGGAATGACGAGATGGCCTGGAACTGGTTTGATGCCATACTTGTGCTATTCTCCATCATTGAGAACTTATTGCTCGCAACACACAACACTGCATCTTCGGTCAACCTGGGCTTTTTGAGACTGGTCCGCCTGTGCAAGATCGTCAAGATCTTGCGGGTCTTCCGTACATTGAGATTCTTCAGTGAACTTAGATTGATGTTGGATTGTGTAGTTGGATCTTTGATGAATGTATTTTGGTGCGTGATCATGCTTCTCTTTGTGATATACGTCTTTGCCCTGCTACTCCAACAAGGGGTGGTTCAATATCTGGCAGAGCACAAGGCTTCTTTGAGCGCAAAAGGTCTGGATGATCTCATGACCTATTTCGGTTCCGTTGGGGTGACCATCGTGACCCTGTTTCAATCCTGCACCTCTGGTGTAGACTGGAACGAACCATATTCCAGCTTGTTTCATACGCGCGACGCGACCGGCGACCTTCTGCCCGTTGCTTTCCTGCTCTTTGTGGCTTTCGTTCACATTTCAGTTTGGAATATTATGACGAGTGACGTGGCTTCCATGTTTTGACAGAGGTTTTGTTGCCTTTCTTTTGTTGCTCCTTTTCCAACGTGCGACACGGCGTGAAAAATACAACAGTATCCAACAGTTCTTGCGAGCTTGTCAGTCATGAGGTACTTTTGTGGAAAAGGCACTGAAACTGGCCCAGCCCGACATCGATATGCTCATTCTTGAACAGCAGCTTCAAGCTTCTTGTTTTTGTATGTTTTTGTCAAATTCATTTGGAATTGGACCAACAAACCACAACCAACCATGTTGAAATTGCCCTGCGTGTTGAAGTTGCTGAGTCTTGTTAAGGATTTTGAAGACTGCCGGATGCTAACGGAACTCTTCAAGAAGAGGCTAATGATTGACCAGGAGGGTCATGAACGTTTGGGCCTGGAAGAGTTCCGAAAGATCGTTGAGACCTATGAATTCAGGTCTTATCTGCAAACCAGAGGCCACTTTGACTCCTAAGAAATCAAATTGTCCCTATTTCTGCAATTGAAGACCCTGAAAGCACCAAGTCCATGGCTGTAGGGCAAAGACCTTGTTTTGGTGGATTTGCTTCTGTTTTGGGTCTAGGTATTGACATCAAGAATGCCGAGACGTTTTTCCAGATGCTGGTCGAGTTGCAAGGGGAATCCACCATCGATGCCAACACCTTTGCAAATGCATGTGTTCGCATGAAGGGTGCAGCCACAAGCATTGACCTACAGACAGTGATGTTCACTACACATTTGATGAATCAGGACCATGGTGGACCATTTGATGTTCGTACCTTCCGCCGGAAAATACCCAGTCTCACGCCCAGCGTTTCCAGTCGCAGTTGAGGAGACATGACCCATAATGTTGAGGCGGGCACGCCAGCCATAGATACAAGGGTCCAAAATAGTTGTTTAGCAAACAAAAGCAACAGGTAAAGCAAACAACAAAACAACAAAATGTAGCTGTGCGTGTTTGTCGTTTCTTTTTTGGTGTGTTGTTTTCATATTTTTGTCGCTTTATTTTCTCAGTTGTTTCGCTTTATTTTCGCATGTTTTTTTCCCGCTTTTTTCCTAGGCCCGTACAGCAAATATTGCTGACGGGTAAAAGTTCTCACAAGTGCAGAAGTGGTACCAGGAAAAAAGCAAAAAAAGAGCAAAACAAGTGCAAACACAAAGCATTTGCGCTGCTTTTGCATTTTCATTTGCTTTTGTTTTGCTTTTTTTCACCAAAAAACATTGATGGTTGGTCATGTATGGCTGCCATTGCTCAACGCAACCATAATGATCCTTTTTTCATCTTTTTTCCGAATTGTGGACTTCTGGCGGAGGACTTTCCACTGACTAAACGGGTCAGAAGGGGCCTTTCCTGGAGATGTGGGCACACCACTTCTCTCAATGTCCGCCTGTGACCGCAAGGAAACTCACATACAACAAAAGACATCAAAAGACTAAGTCTGACTAAGTGTATATAGTAATATATAGTATATTTGTTCCGAAGTATGATGGGTTTTAATGTTGCTTCGTGGGTGGCCTGGGCCTTAGGCCTAGCGTTCGTGGCTGAAGCTTGGCCCGGGTTGCGGAGTTTTCATGAGCTTTCTATGTTTTTGACCTGTCCAGGAACAGCGGCGAGCTTTCCAGAACCTCTATGCTCGTCTCTTAAAGATTGAGTCTGTACTACTCCAGGAGGATTACCTGCTGGGGAACTATGATGACTATCCTGCAGATGAGGATTCTGAACATGAGGCGAAGGCATAGGCCTTCAGCCATTGCATAGAGATTCATTGTTTTTTTGTCAAGCACAGCTGTTGTTCATCCAGGTTTAGGTGTCACATGGTGCCTGTGTCACAGCTGTTGCTTTTGGCTCTTTCTCAAGCCCATAGCTTGTTTCCGGAGTCCCCAGATGTTTCACCAGAGTTGCAAACGCAACAGAGAAAAAAGGAGGGATGATGGTTGATGAGGGAGGGTGGATTATTTTCGGATTTTCAGGCTAATAATGGGAAGTGTTGGCACATAGCCCACCTCAGTTTGAAGGCCATTCTACACTGGCTTAGCCCGCTAACTAGAGAGACATTGGCGTTATGGCGTTTGGTGGCGACAAGCCTAGTAGGCCGGGCACGGTCTCGGTCTTTGTACAAAGGGAGCTAGCGACCGATTTGATGAATAGGAGGACTTGCGATCTGGTTGGCTTTGAATGCCGTTTTATGCAGGTGACAGCGCACGCCAGCCCCAGCGAGGCATCTTGATTGAAAATGGCTTGGCTGCATGTTGGGTGCTTGTTCTCCGTTTCAATGAAAGCACCCTTTCCAAGCTTCTCCCCTGGTGCTAGGGGTCCGTCTTCAGAGCAGAGCAGCGGCTAGCGGAGGCTGAGCAGGAGCGGGATCGGCTGAAGGAATCCTGAGCAGGGCCAATGTACAGGAGCTTTCCAGATGAAGAATTCTTTCATTTAACCCCCACACCACATAACACATCATAAAACAATGTAAAGCAGCTTTCAATAGAAAAGATTTATCAACTAGTTGAAGCCCAGAGAGTTGCGGGGTTGGACAACAATGAGTTTGGGCATCATGTTGAGAGTACTTGGAGTCCAAGAGGCGAACAGTAAGGGGGCCCAGCTGTTCACCTCAATGCTTGTTTCAACAACCATGCTCACACGCGCTCGCACGAAGGCCTTGGCTGAGAGTTTGTGGCAATCACAGCAGGCTCATCGACTCTGTTCGTAAAGACAAATCGATCTTTACTGAGACGAAACGGCCAATGGACGAAGCTCCTCGGTCCGTGGATGGACGAAACTGGGTCTCGCTAGACCTGGAAAACACATGAAAACAATGCATATCCTTCTATGAGAAGTCCTCTGAGATCCCAGAACTTCTGTCCACGATGCAGCTTTCAGTCATTCATATCATTCCTCATGGGAGCTGATTCCAAGCAATTCAGAGGCCTCGGGGCCGAATCGGTGTCTGATGAGTCTCCCGGACCTCCAGTGTTGGCCGAATCGGTCGCAGGGGCAGCGGATGTCCAGACTCGAAGTGAAGGCAGAGAGGCGAGGACAAGCGGGTTGCCGTGTGGCTCATGGCTCTGCAGGTACCGAGGACATCCACACGTTTGGGGACACTCGACATGGCATCTACTAACTGGATGTTCAGATTTTCAGATGATTTGAGGAGATTTCTGGGAACAACTTGAAACCTGTTCGATCTGCACTGCTTAGTCGGAAGGCACCTGCGGACACATGAACTCATTGACCTCCGACTTGCGTGGCAGGCCAGATTGCTGCTACGCACAAACACTTGAAAGTTTCAGGTTAGCCTTCTCAGTGATGCAACTTCAAAGCATTTCATTGAAACCAAGACCATGGCACTAGTAAGGCAAGCCAAAGGGTGCTTCTTCTCAGCAGGACTACCAGCACTAGTTGAAGCCACGAACTGCAGAGACGGGTTTCTGCTCTGCTCACAAGTCACGAATCGACCAATCAATACAACTATAGTTTTTGTATTGGCTGCTTGGATTTGCGTTGATTGCAGTAGGACTTTATATAATACCAAATCGTACTTGCAGTTGACCTGATGCACCCTGCTTTTGTCGGGGGCGTCGTATTTCGATAGCTTTTTCCGTTTGCCGTTGACCGGCTGCAGACACAACATGGTCCCAATTGAAAATTGTACAGGCTCTTGACTAATCAGGGTCACGGGGACGCCGGCTGATACACTCAAGTGTAGGTTGGAGGCCTTCGCTAGTGGGTTGGAGGCCATTGCTTTGTGGGATCCTTTGTGTCAGGCTTGGGAGGAAGTCATCAAGGACCCCTGGCCAGTCCAAACGAGAAAATCGACAACCGTGCTACCAGTAGGTTGGGTTTTATGAGATCTCATGTATCTTGTTCTCAAGTGAAATGTAAGACCAGGGCAATAGACCAGCGAATCCCTAGAGGACTGTCCCTAGAGGACTGCTATTTGGTGTTATTTGTTTTACAGTAGTTCTTTCAAACATGTTGTCATTTAAACATACACTGCAGCTCATGTACTTGCCTTGAAGATCTCATGTACCTTGCCTTGGAGCTCATTTTTCGTCCACGCAGGAGCGACGACAGGTCTGACCGATATGCTTAGCGAGCTCAAAGACTTGAGACATGGAAGCGTCACGTTGACTCCTTCGACAAATTGGCACATGCAGGAATTGTTTTACTATTACTATAGTTGCAGCACAGCCGCAGACATTGATCTTAGTGGAAAAAGTGGTAATCCAATCCTTGTAGGTGTGTATTCTCAGCTGCCATCGCGGTCCAAAGCTTGCCGGGCACTCTCGAACGCATGTTGAAGGCCCATGTTGAACGGCCTGATGACATTGGAAGCAAATTCGGAAGCATGCACCACTTCAAGAGATCGAGTATGGAGCCACATGGACAGGTTTCCAATTTGTTCTAGCTTGATCACCTGCTGATGCAGATCGTATCAGATATTGCCGTGTGAAGAAATCTACAAGATCATTCCTGTAAAAACGTAAAGTAATAGTAATAGTAATACAGCAATAGAATGTACTTTTGGGATACGTTTGGAAGACTCCACCACTTCCCACACCCCATCACGCTCGCTCGCGATCCGAACCGCGATCCGAACCGGAATCCGAATCCTTCGGATCCGCCGCACCGATCGCAGGTACATGCCGGTGGCGCCTGTGCCGGTGAGCAAAGCCCAAGAGCTGCTTGTGATGGAGGCGCCTAAAGAAGTGAAACGCGAAGAAACGACCTGTGTCAGCCAGGGTGTCAGAGCTCAGCTGAACTCATTTGTTGGCCAAATGGATGGCCTTCATTCAGGCCAAGTCTATGACAAAGAATAAAAAAAGGCCACCAGAGGAGTTTTGGTAGAAAAGAATAGAAAAGACACATCAAGAAGCCACCTCAATAAGAAGGTCCAACTGATGTCACGGGTGGCTAAAACGTTTGGTGTTCCGTTGTCCCTTTGAACATAGCTGGTCCGAGGGGTACGTGTTATTGTAAGATGGGTGTTTGTATGTTTGTTGTTTTATTGATCTCAGTTTCTCCCCTTTTGTTTGCTCGAAGGCTGGTGTCGGCGATGGCGGCCACGCTTCAAGGCGGAGTCGGGCCTCTCCTTGGAAGCGGCAGCAGCCACTCGTTCAGAGTGAGTTCTCCAGGAACAGGGCAAGCGAACGACAAAGTTCGACTGGGAAAGGGGACTGGATGGGACTGGTGCATGAACATTGGCTTGCTGAAAACATCTATATCATTCTAAGTCAAGGTACAGTAACAATCGTGCAAGAAGGAGTGATAGACTCCCAGCTGCCAACGAGACAATTGACACAAACACTTGCAGATTCAATGAGACCTTTCCGTTCCATTTCCATTTCCGTTCCATTTTATGAAAGCCCAACGTGAGTCCCCACAGGCCCAACGGGTACAGTAGTTTGTTTCCAACACATTCGGCCTTCAGCCCGCTGGTTGCAAGTCTGCCCAATGGCGTTGCGGTCTTGTGTGAGTTCGACATTAGGTTTGAGACAAGCCTCTTCAGTCCAACACAGAAAGCTTGAACGCAGACTATTCAGCCTTTTAGACACGGTGCCAAGCAGAGCTTTTTGACATAGACTGAAGACTGGAGCATTTGAGGCAGCTGCGGTGATATGGTAGCTTGACCGCATTTGTCTCTGAGACTTTCCACTTGAATCATCTTGAATCACTTGAATTGATCAGAGAGAGATCCGAAGCGTCAACAGCATGATATGCCATAATCCAACAGATCAGAATTGTCAACTCAGCAGACTCAACAGCTTGCTCAAATAAATTGGGCAGAAGTGTGGCATGCCCACAATGCAATGCCCCAGGACGCAGCTCCAAGAGCCGCCTGGATTGGATTCGGATAATCGATCATCGGATCACCAGGAAGGCTTCTTATGGCCAGCAGCTTTGGATTGGGGAGCGGGCACGGTTTCTTGAAGGAAAGATTTATTCAATTCATGACTCCATGGCCTGCGACCCCACCCTGGCAGCGATGGCCTCCACTCTAGAAGCGATTATTATTCAATTTCATGACTCTTCGATGGCCTGTGACCACTTGTCCCAAGTACTGGGGAGACAATGACTCGATGTGAACCCATCGACAGCCGAAGCCATCAGACCTTCCAGTTTTTGGAAGAGTTGACTAGAGGCAACTGACAAAGTCCCTGTTGCCTAAAGAACCATTGTCGGTCCCGAAATCCTGTTTTTGGGATAAGGCAACTGGCAAAACCGTTGTTGGGATCCCTGAGAGGTTTGGTACTACTGCTGGAAGGTCTTTCACACTGGGAATGTGAGTCGAAGATGAAGTATATTTACGCAGGTGGGTGGAACGCTGCTCCCTGTAGAAGGGCCTGGTCTTTGGTTGATTCACATGAGACGTGCCCCCAGGTCTTCATGAGTAACTAGTATGGTATGTATGCAGTTCAGTACGACATGATCATGATACTTCATTGGCCAATGCGGGTTGACCAAATTTCAGCCGGATTTTTTGGGGG